TGAGACACTTTATCAAGTGACCTACCCCCTGTCATCCAGTCATAGCTTCTAGCAGTCAGGTGTTGTCAGCACAGGCTGATTTAAGCAATGGGATTACATGCCAGTTAGCAGTTCTGCAATTTCATATTTGAGTTTTTTCAGACTTCTTGGATGAATACCATCGGTGTTGGTGGCTGACTTCTGTTTGCCTTATCAATTTGTTCCAAAACCAGTTCTGCTGATAACTCAACCTGGGATAGTTCCTCAAATTTGCCACATGAAGATGTGGAGCTATTAAAACAGCCATTCAGTTTTGAGAGGTCTAAGTGGATGATCTACAACAGTGGTCTCCAACCTTTTTAAACATAAGATCACTTTTTAAATTTAAGTCAGTCCAGAATCTACCTCAAACCCAAACACCCCTGCTCCCACCCCTTCTCCCTGGCCCTGCCCCTTCGCTGACGCCCTGCTCTCCTTACTCTGTGAGAATGGGGTACAGGAGAGGGGGACATCAGCACCTCTCTGCCTCTGTTCCCCCCCCCCACCTTGCACAACAAGCAGGGGGCTCCCAGGTAGCAGCTCTGAGGGCTCTGGAGTAGCAGAGCAGCGTGGGGATAGGAAGCTGAAGAGCCGGCACTTGATAGCCTCCCAGCCAAACCAGTCAGGATCACCTGTCAGAGGCTCCAAGATCTACCAGTATATCCTGGTTGGTAACCACTGATCTACAATAATCACAGTATTAAAGGTATTTGAATTTTTGGTCCCACAATAAGCCAAACTAGTTTTTAGAGAGGACCATTGTCTCACCCTCCCCAGAGCAGAGTTTAAAGTCGTTTGCGTGCCTTAATTTGCACATTTCTTATCTTAACAGGTCTCGAGTTCTTCTGTGTCTAAGCTTCACTCTGAATTTCCTTGGTTTATAATGTCAGAATTTGAGATAATGCAGTTATCTGTGGAATCATTTTTGCCTTAAGTTATTCAAACATACTCTCAACTTTAATTCCCAGTTTAATGTAGTTTGTCTGGGAATTTCTTAAGCATTTTGTAAAGTCATAAATCTTGACCCAAAAACTCAAAGCGGAAACTAACATTCAAAACTTCCAGTAACTTGAACATAAGCAACATAAACAAACATTTTAAATTTTTTAAACTCTTAAGGGCAGATTCATTGGTTCACCAAAGCAGTCAAACTGATACGAGTCATTTGGGTTTACAGCTGCACTGCATCAGAGCTGCACAGACCAGCTGAGCGCACGGGTAAAAACTGGCCCTTAATTTGCAACTTATTTATGGGCTTAGAGAGTGGCCTTAGTGATAGCATGTGACTGGGGGGGCTAGGGTTAGGGGGAGGGGGGGAGGCAGGGAACGGTGACTTCTAGAATCCTTGATTCCCAATCTCTTTGTGCTCAGTGCCAGCAGCAGGGCCTATGTATGCAATGAAATTGAGGCTGCACTGCCAACGAAAGACTTTTCAGAAATGATGCTCAAGCTAGCATGTGGCCAACATAACATCAGAAGTGACAGCTTGGCCAAGCAGCCTACCAATGAGATCTCTTGGCATCGAAGTCCAGTCGTGCTCATATCCCTAATGCACGAGAATCAACAGAATTGTTGAATGCAAATTATACAGAAAGGGTGATAATTGGTTAAATTATCCCATATGTCACAATGGCCCCACTTAGTAGTAGCCTGGGCTTGTTTGTAGCCTATGTAACCATAACCATTAGACACTAATAACTTAGCTTAGTTACAACTTAATCTGTTAAAGTATTGCCTATGGACCCATTTAAATTATTTTTATTATAAAGAGAGATTTAAGAGCCTGCATTATTCCGGTAAGATCATTTGGGACAAAGAATGACAATGCTAAATGTTTTAAAGGACTCTGTTTTAATTACATTTTAGCTGTAATTAACAGATCTGAATAGTCTCAGAAGACTTATTCTAGACAAAGTGAGGTTAAATTCTTTAAGGGCAAAATTGAAATTGGTTTTAACTATGGAATCTCAACCAACACCTCCAGGGTTCTTCACCAAGGCTATCACTCATCCCAGAACGTAACAGCAAGTTAAAAGGCATATTTATGAAATACCAATGTGCAGGGTGAGGTCTTGCACCACAGTTACCATTTCTTGCCCTGTTAATAAGACAAGCAGAATGTGGATATGTCTACACTTGCGCCTTCTTTCAAGAGAGGGATGCAAATGCAGCTGAACGAAATTGCAAATGAAGTGTGGATTTGAATTTCCTGTGTTTCATTTGCATAATTGCATACCACCGCTATTTCGAAATAACAAATGCTGTGCAGACATGGTTATTTCGGGAGAAAACCCTTCTTCTGAAATAACCGGTAAACCTCGTTGTATGAGGAATAAAGCTTATTTTGGAAGAAGGGTTTTCTCCTAAAATAACCGTGTCTACACGGCCTTTGTTATTTTGAAATAGTGTATTTCAAAATCATGGCGGTCCGCGATTATACAAATAAGCACAGGAAATTCAAATCCCACGCTTCATTTGCAATTTTGCTCAGCTGCATTTGCATCCCTCTCTTGAAAGAGGGTGCAAGTGTAGACATACCCTGTGATAACTCTGTCCCCACCAAGGACGTTCTCAATTCCCTTCTGTCCCCTCGTAGTGTGGGGAACGGATATGCTGAACTAGTCAAGGGTATGTACACTTCTAGATAAAAACAAGAGCAGTGAAGATGCAGAAACCAGTGTGCTTCTGCAACCCTGCCTCTAATAAAAGCACCCTTGAATGTACGTGTCTGCCCATGTCATGATTGCAGCACTCTGCTAGCTGGCCAGGCGCTGCTCGCATGTACAGGGCTGCAGATTCAGAAAGCAGCTGAGTGGCTCAAAGCTTTTCTTCGCTGTATCCTGAGCACTAAGTTTGCCTACAGGGGCACATGAGCCACCATGGACATGCCAACTCCAAACTAAGCAACAAGGACTTTCTGTTGATTAAGGATGAGAGGGTTAGGAAGGAAAGAAAAAAGTAAGGAGGATTACATCAAAAAGGGCTTAATGGTACAGACACAAATGGCATTGGTGCCCAGACATGGAGCAAAGGGGTCTTGCTTAGTATTGGCTGATTCCCCAATTCACTGGCATGTTTTTCTCCACCAAGACAGAGCACAGGAGCCCCCAGTCCTGATGTTCTTCTGCCTCTCTTGATTTCCCCTTACAAGATGAACAACTTAGCTTGCATTTTGTATTTCTTACCCTTGGGTAACTTTCTTTGTGTTGGCAACAAGGAGTCCTGTAGCACCTTATAGACTAACAGATGTCTTGGAGCATAAGCTTTCATGCGCAAAGACCCACTCTCCAATACATCTGTTAGTCTATAAGGTGCTACAGGACTGCTTGTCGCTTTTGCAGATCCAGACTAACATGGCTATTCCTCTGATACTTTATGTTGTTTTCCCCTTTCCCCATGCTAGAACAGAGCTGGGGCAAGACTGAAAGAGCGATCCTAAACCCTTTCACTTATTGTCCTTGAAATTCTTAAAAAAAGATTTAATACACCAAAGAGCCATTTACCATTTCAGCTTAAAAGCCTACACAGACCCACGTTTCATGGCACCCCTGTGCACACGGAGCAGAGAACTCACCCAGCTTCAACTCCTCAGCTAGCCAATGCTTCGTCATCCAAAAAAGCTGGCAGTGCTGCCTCCCAGCTGAGAGTGGGAAAATTTTGCTTTGCTGTGTTGGTTAATTAAGCAGACGAAGAGGGCTGGATGACAGCCTATTCTTTGTTTGAGTCTAAGTACAGTATGAGCTTTCTGAATGGCCCTGTGTTCTCTCCGGCTCTGAAGAGATGCCATTGCTGAACACAATCAGCAGCCTTGTGGGAATGAGGAGGCTCTACTGTTCCTGACTTGCAGAATCATGCCCTGATGGGAAATGGAAGAGTGGAATTAGACTGACTGGACACTGCATGAACAGGCATCAGAAGCACTGTGGCAGTGGCAAGGGGGAAAGGTGTACTTAGCTCACAGTCTAGCTTTGTTCTGGGCAAAAAACTACCAGTGCTGGGAGGAGTCAGAAGAGAATTTTTGGAGGGAGGAATGGGAATTTAAATCGATGACTGAACCCAGCTGGGCTCAGAATTCTGTGGAAACAGTGGTGCTCTTGAGAGCCTGCAGGTAGAAGGAAGTGAGTGGGGATGTCCACTTAAAGGATGACCGCAATGCAGGGCAGTTCACAGAGTAAGGAAGCCAAAGAGGGGCATGCTTCCCCTGCCTAAAGGTGAACCCGGGCAGCTCTGATAACCCACTGTAGTCCTAGTACTGCTACTCCTTCAAGGGTGAAGAGTCTGAATCATAGAAGCTCAGGCAGATACTGGGGAAAACTGGCTTGCAACTTCGCTGTTTTAAGGCTTCTTCCTGCAGCATGACAATCCCCCCACACACACCCAAATCCCATTTTCTGGCTTTGTACAACTCGCATCTTCAGGACTGAGAGTTGCCTGTTTGTTATACCCATGACAGTGTTCCCTAGACAGAGCTACACTTCAGTCCTTTTCAGCATAAGCAATGCCAAAAGCAGCAACAGTGGACATAACTAATATACTGTACCAGTGATTTTGTATCTTTGACTATCAGGCACTTTACAAAGGTGCATTCATTCATCCAAACACAGTGTCATGATAAAAGTCCAAAAATGAGCTGGTCACAGAAGTGGGAATAAATCTCTGGAGTCCCACTTCCATCCTTTGCTCTGACCACTAGATACATGCTCCTCCTTGCTGCTTGCCTATCTCGCTATAAAGAGGCCATGATCCTTGTTCTTAGCACTTCTGACTGGAGAACCATCTTTATTGGAGTCTTTCAGTTTTCCCTTGGGTAAAAGAGTATTTGGGTCCTTTACCAGAGCAATCTGGCTGGCCCCGAGGCAAGGAAATGGTTGTGTTGCACCTATGCTGATGTGTAAACAGAGCTTATATGGTAGAGAGTTCCTAACACAAGGTATTAATAGTGAACAGTGATTGCAATATTCCATACTTAGTGAATCACTTACCGTGGGGTCGGTCCAGAGAGAGCATTTTGCACATTCCTGGCAGGGGGCCCCTGGTGATCGAGGGTGTTGGCAGAAGTGGTCATATCCATTAATGGAGGCTCGGCAGAGGTAGCACATTTGGGCACCACAACGACAGGACATGCGGTTGCAACCCTCAGATTTAATTAGGCCAGTACCACACTTATGGCATTTTCGAATCCGGGCTGCAGTCATTTTCTCTTCTCTGTAACGTAAGAAGGGTAAAAGGGAAAGAAGCTGGAAATGGTATGTTTGTTTTGCCTGTTCTCAGCGTGAATAATGAGAACCCAGCAATCTCAATAGCCCTTTCCCTAACTTTTCCCTCACTTCTTAGACAGCCCTCTGTTTCTCCCTACTTCTCCTCCAAAGCCTTGTGTTGTTCCAATGCAGTCTGGGCTGAACTCCATTTGGAGTCAACCCACGAGGAGTAGAAAACAAATTAAGTGAAAGGAAGTTTACTGGTTACATTCTACAGGCTTAAATCTGGTTTCCAAGTGAGCCAAAACGCAGCAGGGCTAAGCTCAGTTTTTGACTTTGTTTTCAAATTCATTCCAAGGGCCAAAGGGTATGTGGATTCTTGACTTGGCTGCACAGAAAAAGAGTCAAGGAGATGAAGGTATAGGAAAAGCAAACTGTGTAATGTCATTCTGTAACTACAGCTCCTCTCTGGCTGTTGCTTCGGTTACCAAGTTGCCATGGAACACGTTTCAATTTTTAATCTGGAAGGCCTGAGAATTTTGGACATTATTTTTCTTTCCTGTCTGGTGAATAAAACAAAGGAACATCTTTCCATAGAGAACGGGCATTTTGTCCCTGTTACTAAGTCTCCCCGCTATTCCCACAGAGATTCTCTAGACCGGGACGGCCAATAAGTGGCCCAGATGCAATTCACTAAAAGTTAGCTGTGCATGATGCTTTACTCACTTGCATGTCCACAGGTACAGTTGCTCACAACTACTATAGGTTGCAGTTTGCTGTTCCCGGAAATGGGAACTATAGGAAGCAACCATGGAGAATTGTGTCTGGCACGCAGGCTGCTCATTGCCCATTCCCTGCTCTGTGTGTTACTGTTCAAAGGAATGCACATATACTGTAGCTCAGATCGCCAGCTGGAATCCAGTTTGTTGTCTGGAAGCGCTTGGTTCTATCTATGATACCACACAACCCTGCCCTCTGTGAGATGGTTTGGTGAAGATGGGTAATTCTAAGATTTATAATTCTAGAGGTCTAATCCACTCAAAGGGTTCCAGTAACTACATTACCTTGGAGTGGGAACTGGAAGGAAAAGTTTTGGCAATTAGTGCCGGTCACCACGAGAGCTGAAAAATCTGATTATGAGATCTGTCTTACTAAGCTTTAGACCCAGCTAAATTCTTCAATTCACCATCTAGGAGAAAGAGAGGCTAGCGAAGTTCGAACCAGTAGGCTGGATGTGGAAGAAACTGTCACAGTAGCCCAGTGGAGGTGCTGCACTTGAATTGAGAGACGGGGATGCCTTTGCTTTGGCTGGCAAGGTTGTGTATGGAATAAGCACCATTTCCATTGGTGGTGTGTATCAATCCTGTTACTAGAGTGGTCTTGTGATATGGACATATGTTCAGTAGACAATGTGGCTGGTCACAGCAGCCTGCAGAGGGAGGCTACAGTTTATTGAGGTGCACTAACAGTGTAGTGTGAAGGCAGTCTTCATGACAAGAGCCCATAATATACCTTGCTTTCACCAGCATGATACACTTCTCACAATTCACAGCAACTTCAGACCTAGCACAAGTTTTTACTGTAGTGGCTTATGTAGTAGTATCCACACCCTCTCAGCCTTCCATCCCAAGGCTTGGATCTGCAGTTCATGGAACTAAATCTGTTCTGACTGCTGCTCCTCCCTCGTCCATCTAACAGGATGCTGTTATGCATTTTTGGAAAACTTTGAACAAGGCAGGAAGCTAGGCCTGAACTCCAGCTGGGCTTCCTTTTCCCTATATTCAACAGGAAGCTTTATTGTCTTCATACAGTGAAACCTCATCTGGACTACTAACGAAGGCAAAATTCTGTTTAAGTTTTTAAAGCTACATCTTTCTCTTCTTATTTGGGACATGAGTGTCACAATACTCCCACTTCCTCTTTTCTACAGGGTGAGTAGTGGCAGAAAGACACTGAATGATGTCCCTGAAAGTTAATGTTTTGCTGAAAAATTATGTCCCAAGGGGTGAATGAAGCAGCGTCACTTGGACTCACAATGCCAAAACCTCCAGAGTTCAACTGTAGTATTGAAATGTGATTTCTGCCTGCCCCAAGCACACTAAAAACCAGATCAAAGATGACAAGATTACTAGAGTCTGGGATACACCTGAGAGAAGAGACACCAAATTAACAAAAGCAGGCCACTCTAATTCTAATTCAGCAGTTTTGTATCACAACCCCCACTTATTTTTCACAATTAGAAACAGAGAACGTAGGACAGCAAGGGACCTCAAGGGGTCTTTAGTCCAGTACCTTGCACTCAAGGGAGGGCTAAGAATTATTTAGGCCACTCCGAAGAGGGGTTTATCTAATTTGCTCTTTAAAATCTCCATGACACAGATTCCAGAATATTTTGGCTGTTGCTACAGTATGGACAAAGATTAGACTCCAAAAGAGATTTTCTGAAACTCCTTACATACATTTTAGCATTTCAGATGAAAGTCTGCAGTAGAGAGGTTAAAATGCATTTATTTAGGTAACACATTTACATGCAGCAGGGCAGGAGCTGGTATGCAGGGGAGCCAGCTTTTACTAGCTCCCTGTGAGCACCAACACTGCTGCCTCTGATATGGAGTCAGCTGGTGGGCAGGAGGCCTGTGTGTAACCCTTTACACTTGCACACTTCTAGTCTGTAGAAGTCTTCAGAGAATAACTAACTTTAACAGCATGCACAATCTATTTGTGTGTAAATGTGTATGCACATCTCCATTTGCGTAGTAGAAGAGGCCAGAGGTGAGTGCTTTGCCCAGGTGTCACAAACTCCATTGCACCATCAGTTTACATTACCCCGAACCAAACATTAACAAGTGACCTGGTGACAAACTAAGGCTTGTTTTGTGTGTCAGTGCACCCTTCCTTTGCATACTACACAACATAACCAGCCAGATGCAGTACTAATGTCTCATTTCTTTTGAACGACAGGTACTACCTGTCACATTAAATGAATCAACAGTAATGTTCTGGAATAGAAACTCCCACCACCTCGATTTACCTCATGGACTACGCTGCTGAAAATCATTCCTGGAGCTTCTACCACAGAAGCCTGGTACTTATTCATTTTTCATAACCCCAGAATCCTCTCAGTGTACTGACACACAAAGTCAAGGGCCTTATTAATACACAAACAAGAATGCTCTATGTAGTCACACACACAACACTTATTACTGAATTTAGTAACACAGATGGTTTACTGTGCAACTCAGATTAGAAGTTAGAATAAGCACCCAGTTTTGACAGATTCAGGAAGTTACTTACATAGATGTTCTATATTTTATGTCATCCTTCTCAGCCAGCTGTTCACAGGTAAGGTTCATGTGCTCCTTCCATAGCCCCTGGCACTTCCTGCAGGTTTCCTAAGAATAACAACAGATGTTAATGAGAAAAGACAATCATAGCTACATCAAATATCAAAGCTACAGCTGTGGGGGCCTTCCCCAAATTGCACAGATTTGCACTGAAAGAAAGATCAGGCCTAAACCACACAAGTAGAACAGTGGTCATCCACTAGTAGATTTGGATCTACTGGTAAATGCTAGAGCCTCTGACAGGTGATCCTGTCTGGTTTGGCTTGGAGACTGAGAAAAGACAATCATAGCTACATCAAATATCAAAGCTACAGCTGTGGGGGCCTTCCCCAAATTGCACAGATTTGCACTGAAAGAAAGATCAGGCCTAAACCACACAAGTAGAACAGTGGTCATCCACTAGTAGATTTGGATCTACTGGTAAATGCTAGAGCCTCTGACAGGTGATCCTGTCTGGTTTGGCTTGGAGACTATCCAATGACAGTACATCGGCTTTCTCTTCCTCCACCTTCGCGGGGCGCC